TTCTCGCCATCTCTGGCGAATGCAAAATTTGGAGTGACATACGCCTATCACGCCTCCAGGCATAACGGCCAGAAAACCACGACGTGAAGTTACCCAGCTGAATGCGTCAAATTTTCTAAGACGTTCTACAGTATCGGCCCCGATCACTTCTCAATTGCGTCCTCTGAATCCCACCAGATATCCATTGGCCAGGCCTCCCTACTGCTTGGGAGGCAGCTGGATTATATTTGAACGCAATCCAAAGGAGAAACCAGGAATTTAAAAGTAAAGAAAAAGAATAGCCAAATTACTAAGGTATTGAACTGACGATGGAGCTGGAGTCCGAAACGTTTTCTCTTATAAGAAATGGTAAACTTTTTGGGCTATTTTCTTTACTTTTAAATTCCTGGTGAATGTGCGACTTAAGCAGCCAAGTGATCTTAATACCAATGGGAAACATTTTCACGGAATATTCAAGCCCCCTGCACTCTTATAGCCAAGGAACCCTGTGCTCTTTATACCCCAGTGCCGGCCTCAAAAACTGCTTGATACTCTGGCTGCTTTACCATTTTCGTTTTATCCAACAAGACACGTCGCTGCAGAGGCGGGCCTGGCATGCAGTATAAACTCCTCTCGGGCGTCTCTAATAGATAAGCTGAAGGTAGTCTCATGGAACAGAATACACCATCAACCCACACAATATTCATCCTATTAACACACCTCTTATCTCGTTTCTCACGAACAGGAACGGCCTAAAACTCCTAAAATCTGAGAATTTGGGTCACTTGCACCCTGAATGCCCCATCCGGCACTGAATTGGGCTTCTTTAAGGACCATCACGCGTCTAGTTCTTAATTACGAAGCTACCATCTGATAGTGTATCGCCTTTTGAACCGCTTCCGCAAGCTATATACGAACCACCTAGAACCCGGCCTTGTGTTTGGAGGCCGATTTTGGATCACCTCCATTCTAACACGAGGCATGTTTTTATTTCTTCTCTGCCCCTAAGGACCATTGCTCATCCACAATTCTCTGCCGGTCGCTCTTCAGACCCACCGCCGCTCCTTTCCGTTTGTTTCTGCTCCCCACGTAGTTAAAACAAATTAGATCTACACTTCAGGTACGATCAGACCACAGAAACTTTACGGTATCCTACACGTTGAGAATGTAGGGCTCCCAATGCGCCGCCAATCTTGAGTGCGAATTCCTCCTCGAACCCACTCACCAGCCCTTCGTTGCCATGGCTTTCCTCCTCTCCTATCTGAGAAGCTGACTCGTGCAAATGGCATGCAGCTTTCTTGGGCTTCGGGCCTCCGCTCATCTTCTTGTCTTCCGGAAGATAAATGAATAAATAACCCCTCCCCACGTCTGTCACGCAAGTCAATCTCCTCCTTGACTGGGTGAAGATCGGGGTAGCGAAAAACAACGGTGTCTGGAGCAATCAATATTATGGAGATGACGTTACAAATGAATTGTATGCGGAGAAGATACGAGTGGTTGCCAAAACGCAGGCAGAATGAATAATATGCATTAATGTTCTCGGTACCAAATTTACTTGGCCGTTAATGACGAAAAACTCGCATGGACAGCTCAGTGTCTCGTTTCTAACCGGCGCGATCTCTCATCGAGAAACGCAGCTTTTATCAGGCTTTAATTTGGACATGCGAGTAAAAATTACACAACCGACACAGCGATAGCCGCTGTTTATATACGGGGTTCTTGTTGCAGACACGATCTACAGAAGCCATAGCTCCGGTGGCGATATTAATTGACTGAGAATGACTGTGTTGATTTCTCTCATCCATTCGAAAAGGCTGAGATTACACTCATTACCGCTGTAATACTACGTAAAATAATATATTTTCATCTCTGATTCCGTTGTAGTTAGGATATTTTAACACTCGGATATATTATTACTATATATATTATATATTTTTAACTCGCTCAAGAGAATAGATTGAATTTACTTGGCAGTATTCCATAGAATGTCGTTATGTATATTCTGTGTTAGGAATTAAGATTTAATTTAGTGAAATAGTAAACTTAATGCGTATAATTATGCTAGACGTAACATACGCTAACCCATGGTTGAATTAATTCAATCATGCGCTAACCCACCTACCCCCGCCTGCAAATATTCATTCTGTAATCGATACAAAATTTATTTATTGGACCTTACATTGGGACGAATGCCAAATTTTACTTTTTTTAACTTTTTACACGACATAAGCGTGGCAGGCCTGTGCGGTCCGACTTGTAGATGACCAGAGAGATGAGCACATTGCTGTATAATAGTGTCAGAGTAGAAGATTGGGCCTTACTTTGATTCTCGACATGAAAGAGTTTTCCCAGATCTGTGGTTTCGAACTCACTGCTTCAACCTTGTTTGTTTTAACCACTTGACCAGCTCGCCGATTTCGATCAGAACCTTCAAAACAAAATGATGGTCTCGAACTCTTAAATCTCTGCCCCTAACTTTGTGATATAAACCATTCGGTCAGTCAGAACATTATAACACACGTATCAGCATATTCTTTACGTACGTAGAAGATAAAATGTAAATGAAATTAATCATGCATTGCTCTCTCACCTTGTCTATGAGTGATGACTTGAATCTTGGGGAGGTTTGGTAGTTTGGACAATCTCCTCTTTTTGTGATTTGGGCCTCGTTCTCTTGTATATGGCCAAACCAACAACATATTATCGTTACGTACACAATAAACAGCCTCTTGTCTCTCATGTTTGAGTGCGCGTTCTTCTCGCTGTTCAAGGAAAGTTGCGAGCTAAACTGACTCACTCAAAAGACATTACTCTCGGATATTTCTTTTTCGTTTGTTCCAAAAGAATTCTGCACCGTTTCATTAATATTAATTTTTGTTTGCAATTGATGCAAAATATTTTGCACGAATATAAATTGCGAATCTAACATTCCATCAAAAAGGATGAATCTTTGTTTTACATCCTAATTTGACACTGTTAAGAAGAAAGTTTGCAGAGCTAAAACTGGTTAAAAATCTAAGTTAATTACCTAACATATTATATAATCACACATTACAAATGAACAATACAACTTTTTTAAGATAATAAAATAGGCAAAAAGTGATAGTTTAAAAGAACTGTAGGATGTAATATATTTCCTTTAACAAAGCCCAGGCATTCACTAAAATTTCAGCTCACCAGTCAAGCGATAATACATCACAATGATTCATGCTATCCGAAAATAAAATTTCAATTAACCCGAAAAACTTTCAAGATCAACATAACCAAACAAGTAACCTCTTCAATTGTTCATATTTCTTTTTTCTAAGCTTAGATAAGTCGTTTAGTTACAATAACTTTCACATTTGGTTATTTCTTTCTCCGACTGCATTTCTTCTTTACACTGACGCATTAATTTCACTAAAATAAAAACGCGACACATTTCAAATATATTGACGAATATTTGCTCGACTCCAATGCAATACACGAGGAAGATTCTTTGTATAACCTGCCCTGCAGACCGCAAGGGCTTACTACAAGTTTGCATTAGTCGACAGGCACGCTATTCTCTTCTATTGAGGTCGGTGCCAATAAAAAACTCTTCTGATCGCCATAAGCGTGGCAGGCCTGTGCGGTCCGGCTTGTAGATGACCAGAGAGAAAGCCTTTAATATACTTGCATGCACAAGATCGTCCTGATTATTTATTCATTGACATTGACAGTAAAAATCCTTCTGAAGTACCGCATTCTAAATATCGTTAGAATATGTGAACTATATGTTTTATCTTACATTCCAATCTCAGACGGTTGGGTGAGTGGTCGGATAGTTTCGGTCATTGCTCTCAGAGGGCAACGAAAGAAACAATATGGATAACGTCCTTGCGTGTGCATTGAGTTTTTTTTTTAATTCCTCTGCCACTTCTCCGAGTAGAAATTGTTGAAAATTTTCTTTCGTGTTCCTTCTGAAAATGTCAACATGCGTTCATCGTTTTGAGTTGAGAGGCTAAATTGTTCATAAAGAAGATGGAGACGATTTATCATCTGCTAATAGTGAGAAAATATTTATTTCTAAAGTGAATTATTATCCCAAATTATTCATAAATTGAAATCAAATCGCCATTGTTTCTGCAATTACAGTGTTTTTGTGTACTTGACTATATTTTGAATTTCACTGTAATCGAAAAGCTAAATGTAGAACTATTTTAAAAAGTTTCCCTTTAGGAAAAACAATATTTGTCCCCGTGTTTCTTAGATTCTTTAGAAAAAAATTCTAATTAAACTTTGACTGTGAACGTAGAGGCGTCATCTCGTGAGCAAGAACTAGACTGTCTCCAGTATTGAATTGTTCCAAAGGCATAGCGATCTGTCGAAACAAGCTAGGCATGTGCAAACAATTAAATTTATTGGATCGGATTTTGGAGTGTAAGATTCGGGATGATAATCTGAACGTGTAAATTTTTATAAAATATTTAAGCCAAATTGCGAAACATGGAGAGAAACTGCTCTCTACTTTTGAAACATTGGGTAAGGCAATTCGACAACATTGATTTTTTTTTCTTTTTTCAATTCAAAAGCGGAAGGGAAAATGACAATTTCCATAAGTCGACAGAAATATTCATTTATGACATATCTATCGTTATTCCAATCCTCAAGCCTAAGCCATGTATGTCAGAAAGCCCAAATCCTTAAATTATATTTTATAAATTCTAATAATCCCATAACTATGCTAAAATAAATAACCATTGAACACTGTCATTATCCTCGGGCCATGTGATCATTTATGATTCTTAGTTCTGAAAATTCTAATCCCAGTGCGGTAAGGCAAGCCTGCAGAATGGGCCGCAAAGTCAACAAAGTTAGGTTTATTTCGCAAAGAATTTATGAAGAGGTCAACGGGAGTGCCGTTTTCAGCGCCTTTCCTGAAGGTGGGGGAATTGGTGATCTCGCTCCACTCGATGAAACTCGGCGGCTTCTTCAACCTCAAGATGAAGGCGGCCACTCGTGGGTCCATCTGCTGTTGTGGGGAGGTGGGGTTCACGCCAAGGAGTATTTCCTCGTACATGCTATTGGTGGGGGTGGTCACTTCGCTGGAAACTTGGGCCGTTGTTGTGCTTGCCGGTGCTGCGACTGTAAAGTAAAACGGTTTTTAGAGGTAAAAAGTTTTTATACTTGAAAATAGCGTGCTGGCACTTATATATGGTTAAATTGCAAAAAATAATAACAAAACTTTAAGAAATAAATGTAAAGACTCACTAAAAGATAGAGTATGAGTGAGTTATCAGAAGTGGTTTATACAGTTGGTATTATGAACATCGAGTGGACTAAACATTATTATTAATACTCAGTTTCAGGGCGTTACCAGTTCAAGGACAGGAGGGTTAAGCAACTAATATTTATGATAGTATTGATGTTAATGATGATTGGCTGTGTGATTGTTCATTTAAACTTATATTCAAGCTGTGTTATGATAAATTTCTAGATACTTTTTGGTGAAGAAAAAAAAATCAAAATTTATTCAATAAACATAAAGTTATTCAGGGGCCTACGAATATTTTAGAGAGGAAGCCCACGAAAATTGGTCCAATGTCGAAACTGCTCCGTATTCATCCTTTCTATCCCATCTAATGGCTTTATGGTCAAAATCTCACCTACCCGAACCAAATACTCACTCGCAGTTGCACCGGATCGAAATGAGTGTTGGGTACTCGTTCCTGAAACACTTGGTGACTTGAAGGGTGGAGCGCGGTTACCATGCACCGCAATTGAGGAGTCGGCGATGTTGATGTGAATCAAAGCATTACTGCCTCCCAATTTTTCCAACTCCTGCAGGGCTTCTTCCCCAAGCATTAGGCCCTCAGTGGTTGGTTCCTCCGCATCTTGGGCCAGCTCTGAGATGGACGGCAATCCCGACACTCGTGAGTCGATAACCTCGCACTGTCCGAGGTCTTGGGTTTCTAGAATGCCATCACCCCATTGCCCGTCGAAGACTCGGTAGTTCGCTTCCATCCGCGCCACTTGGTACGAAGACGGAGTTGAGGTACGTGACAGAACATACACGTATTCTGAAACAGAATTCGTTACTGCGGCAAATGATCAATAGTATTTCTTGCTGATAATAAATAATAAAAATTCGATTCCATCTTCCTGCGAGAGTTCTGGTCATAGCTGTTAGGACGGCCGAATGCTAGGGATGAGCAAGCTTGGAGCAGTGAGTTGCGGGTTCGAAATTTCAGTAAGCTGTAAGAATTTTGCGATGTCTAGAATCGGTGACAGGACAGATTTGTCCTAGTCAATAAAGTTGCGAACATTTTTAATAGCGCTGACAGCGCTATGTAACAATGATGATGCAACGGACTCACGTTTGCTGGATGTGTCTCCCTCTTGGCAAGCTGCAAGGACAGCGTAAGTGTTGTAATCTGTGGCTAGAATGTTCCAGACCACGACACCCGTATTGTCACTGCCCAGTACTGCAAAAAAAACACAGAAATGCACTGTATTGAATTTGTCAAATATTTTTAATCTCTATGAAAATATATTATTATTTCTTACTAATTAGGCTTCTAAGTTGTTGTTTCACCTAGAAAATGTATATTTCATAGGAATAAATCTCTATATGGAATTCAATGAATAATCACTCGTCTGCGTGAATACTTTAAAATATTCCGATTCTTATATAAAAGAGTTCAACTGTTACCGCTGCGTGCACGTCGACTTATGGAAGCTCATAAATATGTTTGTTGATGGATATAATTATTTTATTCATAGATAAAATGGTTTTTATAAAGTCGCAATACTCTCGTTCTCTAGAGATTAACCAATTAAGCGAAAGCAAGTCGAATTTCACTCCGTTCCACTGACGTTCCTCCGTTCACTCCGTTTAAACGTCAAATTTAAAAATGACTTCAAATTTGATCAACTATTGAATTAACCATATTCTTTTCGCTGTTGTTATGATTTACCGTGCAGGTCGGTCAACATGCACTTTGCTTAGCTGATGGCACACATCTTATAAATGAATAGAAATGCTGCCAGTGATTGCTAACAAAATAATGCTAGCATTCCTTGATAATCAAAGATCCATCACAAACCTGAGGTGAAATGAGGATATGTCATAACGCAATTACTCTTAATGGTACAAAATCAGAAAAAAAAGTTTATTTTCGGTCATCTTGTGTTGCGGATTGACACTCACCGTCACCGTAATCGAATTTTGCCTTGATCAGTCCCATGGAGTTTGCGTCGACCAAAAACATCCCTTCAACTGTCAATAACCGAGACCTGTCTCCGTCGAGAGAAAGCATAAAAAGAAATAAGAATAAACAAGTCAAAAACTGAAAAAATCTGTGAAAGTTAAGAAGACAGCAATAAAAGCTTGATTTCTTATATGGAGATATCATGATATGCTTGAAAAACTGCTTTGTGAGACATTGCCGGTTTTTAGAGCCGTCAATAAATGACTGGATGTTGGCTGCAATTCAGGCAAGAAATTTCGCAAAAAAGAGTACATTATTAGGGTTTTGCTAAGTTTTAACGAAAAAAAAAACATTATATGATTTTATTTGTGTCATGTATTCTAAATGACTTTAATTCACTGTAGTTTTACAGTTTAAAATAAATTGTGCTTTCGCACATCGACTTTATATCCATTCGAGCAGTAAATGCAGACAATGGACAACTCAAAAGTAAAGTTCACATTTCTGAAAAGTTTCATCGTGCTAGTTGCGAGACGGAAACGTCATTATCTAATTCTATCAGTTTTATGCGCGCATTAAAATGCTGAGTGCATGTTTCAAAAAATGTTCCGTTACCATGAAGCCTTTTTAATTCGTATGCGAATAATCGCACAGTCACAGAAAACATTTATTTTAGTATATTATTTATATTAATTATAATTAACTATACTATATCAACGTCGTGCTTGTTATAAAGTCAAAAGAAATAATAATATTTCCTCGAATATTTTTGATTTACTTGGCGATGAACTCCATTGTAGCGCTGCCGTCTTCCTTCATAGTGAGCGTCTTGCACGACATGCCCCTCTCAGCGCCCACCTTGTATTGCTGATACACGTACCACGTGCCCAGAAACTGACCGAGAAATATCAAACATTAAGATACCAAATGAAATAAATATGCTATAAATATGATATATGTAATAAATGCACATATATTACACTGTTATAAGAATTACCGTTAACGGTATTACCGGCGTTTCAGCTAGTGGCCGGTCGGCACGTGAAAAGAAACACCGAGTCGCCGTTTTTATTCTAATTTAACACTATAGAAATCCGTAAAACATCTGATGAAAACGATGAAAACGTTTATATTTTCACGGGGCACCGGCCACTTGAACGCCAGTGGGACCGTTTTTCCACTGTTTTTAGCGCATTTTCTCATTTATGGAAAAAATGCACTATTGTGCTCGCCATGTCCGTCCGTCTGTCTGTCCGTCCGTCCATGACTTCATGTTTTCGTCGACGAGAAAATGCGCTCTCTGTCGCTCACTGCAGTGAGTACTGAGTTATATTTTTTTCTAACAGTGTAGAGACGCAGTCTCTACACTGTTAAAAATACAATACAATACTACACATACATTACTACACATGCATTACTACACATACAATACTACACATACATTACTACATACTACAATAAATTAATTGCTCACCTCCCTGGCGTCGAAGTCCTCCACGGCGTGCATGGTCGGGCACTGGGACGATGAGACGTGCTGGGCAGCGCCCCCCGCAGCGTACAGCACAGCTGCCGCCGCCCTGTTTGCACAATTAAACGTTATTTCATAAAAATAATTATCCAAAATTTATCTTTCAGATAAATTTTAATCAGAATTTAGATTTCAACTGTAGAATTGCGTAAAATTACGTGAGGAAGTTAGCTCAAAATTGAATTTTAATCAAAATTTAGATATAATATGTAAAATTGCGTAAAATTACGTGAGGAAAACATACATTACTACACATACATTACTACACATACATTACTACACATACATTACTACACATACATTACTACACATACATTACTACATTCTATAATGAATGCAGTGCTCACCTCTCTGGCGTCGAAGTCCTCCATGGAGTGCATGGTCGGGCACTGCGACGATGAGACGTGCTGGGCCGCGGCCCCCGCAGCGTACAGCACAGCTGCCGCCGCCCTGTTTGAACAATTAAACGTTATTTGTTAAAAATAATTATCAAAAATTTAGCTCAAAATTAAATTTTAATCAGAATTTAGACTTGAACTGTAGAATTGCATAAACCTACGTGTGGTTATACTTGAAGCAACTAAATTAAATTTTATTATCCGTTGTTACTGTTCAAGTCACGAAAAGTTCAAGAATCGGCAAGAGGCCATGGGCCTATTTCTTCAACGCCGACACTTCTATTCTATTCTATTCTATTCTACTGCAGATATTTTGCATACGTGCATGTAAATTCGATGGCAGCATATCTTGAATGCATGGTACTGCAGCCTTTAATATGGTACATGTTGAAGAATGAAAGAGAAATATAACGATTTACTTAATTGGTGTAGTTTGCGTAGTTTCCTAACGTAAAACAAATACTAAATATCCCTCATACTTGAAGGATATATTAGTTTTTTACGTCAATGACTACAATAAACGGAATTAAAAATAATTAACTGAATCGCCTCAAAGGATACCAGATTTTAAATTTAAAATGCGATCAAATCCTGTTAAGAAATGCTTGAGTCGGTTATTCATCTCATAAATATAACCATTCAGGCTTCATTAATGTCTTGCTGAAATACATGCGAACGTTATTATTATTTCACTTACCAAATGATGCACAAGTTGGTCCTTAGCATGACTGTATTACTGGTCTTCGTAGAACATCTATAGACAGTTAAATAGAAATAGAGAGATTTTAAAAAGAAAATATTTTATTAAAAAGAGATTTTAAAAAGAAAATATTTTAATAAATAGAGATTTTAAAAAGAAAATATTTTCAGTACTGATCACGCGAATAGTGGAGCTTTGATAAGTATTTTCGCGTTCAGTTAGCTCGGATTTGAATAACTGGACGTTATAATTAAGGAAAACATAATTAAACAATACATGTCATGGAAAAATGTTTTAGTTGGAATCTTAAAATGACTTGGTTATATATTTATATTAATAATCACATTCGTGTTTACTTCGTAAGGTTCACTTATTCTATCACTTCCACTCTCTGCTGGTTAGCCGTGCAAGTGCATTTGAATGTTTTCACCAATTTAATCTTTAACTACACATTTTAAACATAATCTCTAACTAAACATTTTAAACACAGTATCTATACTTGGCTTCAACGAAAGAATTGGAAATATTTCAAAATGAACCATACAAAGTTTGTTGTTTTCTTTCAATTATAGTAGTTGGGATTGGGATACCATATTGCTTGCATGTCCATGACAACCATTCAAGAATGATGTATCAGTTGACTTCCATTTCTAATGAAAATATCTAGAAAACTATTTTGATGGATGTTAAACTGGCATTTCTAATCGGAATTAACAAATTGAAAAATTAGTATGACTTTTACGTGACCCGCTTTTTGATGCACATCAATGAATTTATTACAATTCGGATTTATAAACTATTTCTTATATTCGATAGCAAGATCTATTCTGATAATAAATTCTTTCTTCGATTACATATATATCATTAGAACACATAAATTATTAAAAGCAATATTTTACGCAACTGTTGGTCATTTGTGAAGAAATAGTTCCAGAAAACTAACTGGAACTTCACGATCTTTTTTAACAGATTTGTCTGCGCCTATAATGATGATATTTGAATGTCATCGAAATCTCCAAACACTGATGAAATGATGCTAGTATCTTGATTTTCGGCTTGTAAGGAATTTTGAAACGGTACGTCCATTGCAACATTGGTGCCCAAAAGCATCCAAAGCACAAACCGGGTCCACCACGGCACCAAGAACTGAAAACACGTGTACCCAAACCACGCAGTCGAGTGATAGTGACAATGTGGCTTCTTCGTGGACTTCTGATGGAAAAGTTTCACTCTCCAGCCAGTTTTTTTCAGTCGAATTTTCACTACTGTGTAAAAACTAGCATGGCTACGGAGGAAAGCGAGCTTCAGGCTTACGTGGCGAGAAACTCTACACAATCCTAATATATTTTTTTGTGTACATTAAATTTGCAGTGACGCATAACAAGAATATGCAAGTAACCCCTTTGATTTTTATTTGCCAATAAGTGGTATTTATTTTTTCAAACTTATGAATAGAAAATCATACTCTTTATTTTCATATACATGTATTACAGTATTAACACAGCTCCTGAAAGTCGATTCGCAGTACAAGTCGAGCGTTCCCAAAAATGCGAGAGTTCTTCAGTATAGAGCATCTTCTTAGTTTATCGAAATGCTTTGTCCATAGATTTGGTCCGTACAAAACTCTGCTGTTTTATTGTCGCTTTATTTACTCGAAAATAATATATTTACATTTTTCTTCGTCTGGCTAAAAATTTAGCATTTCCTCAAATTATTTTTCTTATCTATAAATATGATGACAACGATGATTTATTAAGTACTGTTAGCTATCATTTCACCACAGCTTGAGTACTGTCGTATCATAAAAGTCCATAAGAAGTCAGTTGAAAATATCGAAAATATATTTAGAAATTCGAGATAAAATGAAATCTGCTTGGAGTTGCAGCTACACGTTTTGTACACGAATAAATTTATTTATTAGATTTTACTTCCGATGAAAAACGTGTCTGACATATACCTATACAACACATGAAGTAATGAGTCATGAGTCATTGTTACGATGCGACGCAAGCTTCCTCCATTTTTACGGCAAATTATATACTGAATTGATTTTGAATAATTTTCGAATAAGAAAACTGATTGAAACATGAAATTCGTTCTCGCAGTTATTTTTTGCATCTAACTAACATTTTGAAAATCGTTCTCAGTAAAGGAAAATAAATTGTAAATGTTAATTCTTCTACGAAATACCCTGTTGAGCGACTTCCTTTAAGATTTTGCTTTGCATACATCGTAACTTTGCATGACCACTACATTTTTTTACAAATAAGCTATTTTTGAAAGCAGCATCGATATTTATATAGGCTTGATTAAAATCGGATTTGAAATCCCGAAATAACTTAATTGAGCCAATAAAGTCGAATTCAGTTATAATATTATAATGAAATATGTAAATTAGAAAAGTGGTAAAAAATTGACAATTTTACAAAGGTAAAATTACAAAAGTGGTTCTAATTTTAGTTCGTTTATATTTTCATACCGCATAGGGGTTGTGAAAATTTCAGAACCAGCTGAACGTCCAATAGAGCTACTCACTGTTCTTGTTATGAGGCGATCAAGTTAAAAAACCGATTAACACGTTGACTCCGATTGCTTCATCTTGTACTATTATTTAATTTTTTGTACGATTATGAAACAGGGTTGCTAGACGGTCTTTTTTCAGGACAAATTCCGCGATTTAGTTTTTTCCATTTGCTTTGACCGGCTAAAATTTATGATGGGGGTTATTCCTAATTAAATGAAAAAATGGAATTTTTACAACAGAACCTACAAATATACTAGTTTATATTGAATTCTAGGCCTTTCTTGGCTTTTTTTGCGGACTTGTCCGTTTTCAAGCAACCCTGAATTATGTACCATTACGTCCTGGAGAAATACATTTCGTGGAAGGCCTATGCACCACTTCGGAGTCAACGTGTTAAATCCCCACGTGGCCAACCTGGGCCTATACTTTCAAAAAAAGTTAAGAGATCGTAAGTTCATCAGCCAATCATTGACGGCCTTTCAAGCAAAATCCACCAGTCATAGACAAGCAAATAGAACGTAAGTACATACGTTCACTTAGCGAGTTTTGAAAGTATGGCCTGGTCATTATCGTGCGCTGTCCCTAACTTTTTAGCTGGCAGATGGGAATTAAGAAATCTAGCCATGGGAAACTAAATCCGGTCTCTGCGTGCAACTTAAATACATGTGTATATCATTATCTTTAACTTGCATTTCTATAAAAATAGTAATAACATGAATTCAGGATTTTTAAACCGATGACTTGCCATAAATGGATTGGCTTGCCATCTATCTATCATAAATATGTACGTTACCAAATCATCTTCTCCGCAAAATCGAATTTCCCTTCATTCAAGTACTAAATTTTGTTCAGTTGCATTTAATCTTCGTTATAGCGACCAGGAAACCGCACGCCGCCATTGATCAGAATTGTCATTCTATATCTACAAGAGACAGTAAATCACACGTAGTGATCAGAGTGAACAATGACACGCATATTGCAATTGCTTAAATTTCCGAAAAAAGTGTCAAGCCACATGACATTATGCGTTAACTTCGCGTATTTATTGGCTATAAAATAAACCAGTATACGCCTCCCAATGTCCTGCATTTCTGATTGGGTCACATGCACTAACCCTCATTCAATAAATCATTTGATCAAGCAGCCAACTTAACAGAGCCAATGTTCAAGAAACCCTTGGGATTTAAGGAGAAACGGAAATAGCGTCTATACTATTATTATTATATAAATAACTACATTCCATATTTATATACTAGTGGACCACCAAATTTCGTTTCTAATCAATTCACGATAAACTATTTACCATTAAAATTTGCCTACAAAACTCCAATTAAGTCCAGCTCGTATGTTTCGCCCAAATATTATTCTTCTGTATTTATCGTCTATTCGTACAGGATCCACAGGATGTATTCAAGTTTGTTACATCGGGACGAAAGTATAAGTTACTGTTAATGTAACCTGTCCGCTTGCAGTTTCTAACAGGTTCAGTGTTCTGTTGAACGGTTAGAGGCACGCAGAACTGTTAGACCACGTAAGACTCTTTTTTTTCACTATACCTACCCTTTTGCCGTACGAGATGTGTCCATTAATTGATTATCACAATGCAATAAAAAATACAACTTTATTGTTTGATGTTACTTAAATTTGAAATTCAAGGTCAAACTATTCATTCAATTAAAGATAGCCTACATTTTTTTACGAATTGTGGAAGAAAGTTAAAAAACATTGACACATGTTTATTTTATATAAGCTTAAAAGCACGAGCAATACGATAGTTTTACAAAATTGCACGCATTTAAATTTGAATTTAAAAAATCTGCGTACGTTGTGAAAATCTAATTCAAATTTAAAACCTACGAAACACGAAATTGCCTCTCAAAGCTATTGGCAAGATTATTATTTCATTATGTGTTCTGATGATATTTATATCAAAATAAGATTCCATTCTTGTTTTATGTCGGTTGTTAGTAGAAATATTTTTCATATTAGGCAGTATTATGGTCCTTTTACTTGTTTGTACTTATCCTGATTGAAAATTGATTTCTAAAATCATGCATCAAAGATGACAAATCCGCAAAGCTAGCTCTTCAGACTTTAACCACGTCTCTGATAAGACGTATGTGTGTCAATTACAACGGTAGCTCGTCTACGCGCGTTTTTGCACACCGTATTAACGGTTGACACTGAAACCGAGTTCGCAACTCAATAGATTAGAACGTTCCGTTGGTGCTGCAAAGAAATATTCATACCTAATAGCAAAAACAATAACTTTTTCAATTATTTTTTGTTCACTCATACTTCTGAATAGTTTAATTTTAAACGGACTAGATGTAATTTGAGACAGTTGGGTTCGTACAGACCAAAATGATTTTTTCTTGCTACTCTCCTAAGTATTATATACAAAATATGTGTAAAAATTTTAATGAATGGGATAAAAAAAATACCACATCATCTTGCAATGACTTATGCGCAAAAGTTTATTAATTGGACGCACTCTAGCATTAATTGTGCAAAAAAATAACAACAACCTGTCTGCAAAATGAGGCAGGCCTGAGGTCAGAGTAGCGGTGATGATCGCCCCAGGAGAGGATGAGATCAGTGGCAGGGCTGACTTACTTCACAGTCCTCATTCTGATCCAACCTGCATCGTCGGCTTGTAAGCCACGCTTGTGATTAACAAAACTTCTAAACTGAAGACAGTGGTGAGCAACGTTCTGTTAGTTATTATAAACTCAAGATAATTTGTTAGTAGCGACAACCAGCATCGTCCGCTTGTAAGCCACGCTTGTGATTATCAAAACTTCTAAACTGAAAACTGTGGTGAGCAACGTTCTATTAGTTATTCATAATAAACTCAAGATAGTTTGTCAGTAGCAATGTTCTCTGGGTTGAAAATCGAGATAATACGGTAGGATCTGCTCTACAAGGGTAATGTTTTTCATTTTAGTTTTCACGTGTCGGAAGGTTTAGACATTGCGGATCAAAAACGACATGTTATTCATCTTCTTACGCTATGCGCTTGACATGATATCATTAAATTTAAACGCATGACTGTGAAACTACATAATAATGAGCTGATGAGCTGTATCTGTAGCTGTAGCATTTATAATGCTACAATAATGCAATTATAATGCATTTATAATGCTACAATAATGTATAATGGCTATATTTCAGGCAGAAACTTATTGATTGCTAACTAGTGGTTGGTATTCCTTTTACGTTTTTTGGTGATCTCTTATGATATGACCTCTTATAAAGTGTGATATCAAGTTATTGAACAAACTATCATTTGATTTTACAGTAGTACTTGAGTTTTTGTCAATATTTCTGCATATCTTTAAGAAATGAGCAATTCAATTTTTAATGGTAAAGAAATAGATTGAATTATTACTTGATTGCATTATTACTTGGAGNATAATTACTTGGAGGTTCAAGTTCATAGTATTCTGATGTAGAAACTATCGTTAGTTCTATATATAAACTATAAAAAATCGTTAGAAACGCAATTGTTTACTGCTGGAAGTAGTATAGTACTAGTTACATTAGCTCCTATTAATCCGTCTTGCTTGTTCAGTTGCTCCTGTTAATCCGTCAGCAAAGCTCAACATTTAGACAATTTTTTTTTAGTTTTATTACGGTTTATAAATGGCATACTTTTGAATGCGGGCTCAAGTTTGAAGGTTAATTTCAGTCTTTAATCTTGTCCTTCTTTTTCTCGTGCCTAGTTCTATACTCGGTTCATAATAGAATCTCATACTACAGAAGGAGGTTTTGACGTTAAATCGTTCATTTTTGCCTGCCAGAAAATGCAGATCGGATGTGCTAGGACAAGGTGCACCCTTCGGTTGCTTGCGGTGTTCCTCTCAGTGCTGAAGTTCACCGCGGGCTTAACTACACAGGCCAACATCGAGATCTTCAATACACACAAGGCGCTGGGACAGTGTCCAACCTTCACGCCTTTGTCCACCCTCACCAAGACGGATGTCAGTGTTTTTTTTATTCAATACATATTTTAATTTACGCTTGCGGTTCATAGCTATCAAATTTTTTTCTATGGTTATCATATGATTAGCAAAAAAATTTATCACTAAAAATTCACGTCTCTCTTCATTCGATCTCACCAAAACGGAGGTCAGTGCTGAGAGTGTCTTGTAGTACGTAATTCATTGTTTAAGTTATGCTTGCAGCCTTGCAGTTCATTGCTTTGAAACGTTTTCTATGGTTATGGTAACATTAGCGAAAAAACAGACGTTTATCTGTGAAAAGTTTTCACGAGATTTAGCACATAAAGAAGAGGAGTCCAATATTCAATCATTTTATTTAGTAAAATCGTACCTGTTACTCACTCCATGAGCGTTATTGTAGAAAATATTATAAAATATCTTAAATTGAGGTCTTGAAATTTCCAAATGCCTTGTAGCGACTAGGGTAAAGCTACACAGGTGAACCTATTTATAGTTATTTTTTCGATTAGGAAACGTATTTATTCAAAAGAGCTGTTGTTTATTTTGTTCAATTTAATAAAGTGATCATCTTTTTTTTTTAACAAAGATTAATCTCAGCGCCATTTACGAATTGGAACGGCTGCAGACTTGGAAATCCATTGTACCTGCATGCCAATCCTCCAGGCAAATGACGTCGAAACATCGTTGATACCGAGTTCATTTTGTTCAAACAACGTTTAATTAACGTTATTTCAACGGCAGAGGCCTCGCTGGAATTCATTTTTTAAAACTGTTGTCTTGCAGATCGTAGGTATCTGGCATGTCTATCAGCAGTCCGACAACTCATTGGAAAACTCATGGACCTGCAAAAATCTCGTATACAGCGCCATCAGCAACGACTTCACCTACAATTTTAGAGTGTGAGTGAAATGAACATTTAATTGATATCAAGCGAAAACGAAAGATCTATCTTCAAACTCACTTGAGGAAATTTTTGATTACTTAAAAAGCATTCAAAGTCTGTTAGTGAAAAAAAAACATTGACAGCTTTGATCCGGAGACATTAAACGTTGTAACCGTATGAAATTCGAAATAAAAACAGTTGAAATGGCTTTTTAATATCTAAATATTACTCAACTTATTTCTGGAGTTCGTGTTAACAAAAAAGGATTATAGGTATACTAACTTTTTATAAATGTATCAATGCCCGCGTTACTTGCCGGAATTGCACAATACTAGCAATTATATTGCAAATGCAAAGTTACCAAGTTTTACACTATATTTCAGGAGCGAATCAAATATTTTTGTTCCCGTACAGAAACAACTTAGCCACTTCCTATACTGGCACATACGGCGTCAACACTGCTGGAGCCGGCATCATATCTGTGGCGCTCAGATACCAGTTGGGTAAATGACGTTACTCAAAACTGTAAAATGACGTAACTCTATATTTTTAAACGGCATAACTCAAAATAATATATATTAAATTAATTATATTATATATTCTGACGGTCAAATATATTTAAAATGTTAAATTTTCAGCTCTGGGTGCGGACAGCTTTGGTAACGTGAACCAGTTCGTGGTGGCAGCGGACGCCACAAAGTACTTAATCATCAGAGCCTGCACTAATTTCGGTCTCTTCAACCAACGTGAGAATCACATGAAAATATGATAATGTGTTGATAATGTGTAATAGGGTCACGTTAATACGTATTTCCGCAAACGATTTTGACGCCGTAACAGTACAAAAACTTCAACCGTAATATGTTCAAGCATTAAAAAAAACTTGTGGCCTTTTACTTCATGATAAATTTGTTGTCCTCAAGCTGCGATCTTTCACTGTCCAAGGAGAAAAGTCGCCCTGTTACAATTGATGCATTCTTTCCTGGCTTTGAAAATTACAGGATAATAAAAGTAGATTATTTCTATTAAAGGAAAATAAAGGTTAACTATTTCTATTTAACGACAGTAAAAAATAAATTATTTCATGTTTGTCCTACAGAATACGTCTACGTACTGACGAGGCAAACATCGCCAGACGCTAGCACCATCACGGCCATTAACACGGCGCTGGCCACAGCAGGCGTGCAGGCGGCTCAGCTCTACACCGTCACGCAAACGGGCTGTACATGATCATTTTTCTTGTAATCAAGTGTTATCGTTTATTGTTATAAATTTCAGCTGTTTAATTACATTACTAAATAGTAAAGTTCATTTCCTGTGAAAGCATTAATAGGGTATTCGCGATCTCCAGGAAAAATTAGTTATTCATGTTGCCACATACTGGGGCTTGGACAGAATAAGGGAAACATTTTCATAAAGACTGTCGGCCGAGAGCTGCACAGATCTGAATTCTATGGAAGAGATGCAATTAGAAAACCTCTGTTTTAAAATACAAATGCTTCAAGCGTTTGGAGTGGTGTAAAATCCCCCAGAATTGGTCCCTCGAGCAGAGAAAAATGTGATTTTCTCTGACGAATCATAGTTTTTTTTATTTCCAACCACTGTCCGAGTTCACGTTTGGAGACAGCCAAAGGAGTCATTTAATCCCGCCTGCTTCCTCCCAAACCGTAAAACATGACGGGGATCTGTGATGATCTGGAGCGCTTTTTCTTGGAAATCTGGCAGAGCAAAAATTTCTCTTCATAGAAGAATCAACAGCCGCGACCATTTTGGAATTTTGAAGGACCAAGTTCATCCAATGGTTCAAGCACTGTTTCCGGAAGGGAGATGATAATGGCCCCAAGATTTCAAGAGGATAATGGCCCTATCCATACAACTTGAATTGTTAAAAAAATTTCACGAGGAACATACCATCTAATGAAGTTGAGCAACTCATTTGGCCAGCACATGACACACCTGAATATTATCTAGCATTTATGATCGATTTTGGAGATGCAGAAATCGATTCCCGCCGCCAACGTCTTTAAAGTCGATTTTATTGGAGGTTCCATCATTATCGAAGCTAGTTTTTCACTCGTAATTTTTTCTATGTAGCTATGTTTAGTCAAAATTTTGGGAAAAGAATAAATAATTTTTTTAAATAAATAAATGTATATAAATTTATAGCAAATTTATTTTTCCAAAAAGAAGAAACCGAAATCTATTTGGGATTGTGGAAACTATATTCGATTACGTCTATTGTGGAACTCATGTAATCAGTTAAAATGAGGTGGCCCGATTGAAAACAATTAGCTTTCAGTCATCGGATCGCGGTGAAGGTTGGCAATATTACAACTAATTCTAATTCCTAGGATATTTATCGGTGCCAGGTTCATACCAAAACTCCTCATAATGTTCAGCGTACTTAAGCTACGTTGCCCTCATGATCTTTGTGATAAGTATTGCAGAAAAATTCGTGATCTGAAAAAAAAATTATTCCTGAATGAAGAACGTATAGGCTCCTATAAAATATGTATGGTACCACTGGGAAAATACGAGCAGACGTAGCTAAATAATCTATAGCTATTTTTCATGTCTGGCCCTCTGAAATAAATTTTAGAACATCTATTAGAAACCAGCAGTAAAAACGCCAAATTCATTAAACTACCTGATGTTCATATATAACCTCACCTGCGCCGAAAATCGATTATTCGCATATAAAAAGGACATTATTACATCAGAACCGCATTTGCGTAAATAATTTGTAAACTCTAGTTGATTTACTGAATGATCATTTTATTCGGATGATCGCGAAATTTCAGCGGCTCTTCATCGAAGAGAGGAAAAGAGCAACATCCTGAAAATATTTGGAAAATATTCGGACGAGAAACCTAGCCTGACACCAGTGAAATTTTTTACAGAAACAAATTAGTCTGTACATTTTGATTGTTCACAAGCAAGGCTTTTGGTATTGTTTGTGGACGAAGGTTATTGTAGAATATAAATGATCAAATGTGATAAAATGTAATAAAAAATAATTAGTCTGATGAAAGTGTGACAGTATCAGAACTCGGAGTACTCATTTCTGTGTTGTTATAAAGTGGATTTAATCCACACCCTACATAGGAACTCAATGTATGGAGTCAAGGTATGAAGACTTTTTTAATGAATTCCTAATGTGAAGGGACGAGATGGTTTTAATATAATCATGAATGCAGGCATTTAATTGCTCCCTATTTGCCTAGATTTAATCAATATATAGAACTATATAAATCGCCTCATTTTCTCATAATTTGCAAATTCATATTTATTTCGCAATTTCTTTCAACCAAAAGCGTGTCGCTTCATAAAGCCCCGTTGTGACATTTTGAACAACATGGATGCGAACAGGTGATGCGAGGTAAGCATATTCAATTTGGCTATAAAATGTAGCGTCAGAATACTCCCAGAGGGCATCTATCTATATTTGACGTATACCGAGGTAACACCTCTACTTGTGGAGAAGAAATTAAAAATGTTTGTGTCAAGTTATCATTAACTGTGCCTCATCCACTAGAATTACAAAGAGTTAGAGAAATTCATTCTGCCATATCATTTTCTTTTTGACAGTCTTGCAACTTCACTTCCGTCATGCTCGTATTTTATAAACAATATGATGGTACGGAATAATGCGAGCAAAAATGATAGACAAAATTGGTCCTCTAAACTAGTCAATAATAATATCTTAGTTACACTAATTAATTATAATTTCTTAATTATTCAGAGGTTGCTTTGTCGCACTCACGGATACTCTGGATAAATTAAGATGAAATATCAACCGGAAAGACAGTGTTGTTGTAACGTTAGCATCTACTTTGCAACGGGAAATCAAGTTTTTAAATTGTTTTCATTACTAATAAATATAAAACCGACTAATTTGGATGTTGCCCTGCATGATCCTAGAGGTACTAACTTGTATCGCTTAATAAAACAAAATGAAAATTTTTTCTTTCACGAGAACTTAAGGATTTTGACTACGGAATTTCAATGTCTCGAAAATCATACCGGCGGTAACTGTATAAACAAACATACCTGCTGGTAAACTTTTTATCTACAATAGCTGACAATGCACTAGAAATTATGAATGTCATTATAAATGAAACATTTTCGACTCGAGTAGCTAGCCAATATGGAATTTCGTTGCGAACAATCGAAGTGAAGAGAATTTTATCGCTACGGAGCCAACAAGATCTTCTTGAAAACGACAAATATAGGAAATACGCAATTTTCTTAATTATAATTTGTTAATTATTGTTATTATTAATATAAAAAATGTATAAGAATGCGTGAAGGAGGTTTTTGATTCTTCGTTATATTTTTCCTTTTCACGATTTTTTGACAAGCTTTAGTCACTGAAGGAATAAAATTCACATTTACGTAGAATGAAATTAATTGCTTATTTCAATAATGTGCCGATAGCGTAGGTGCAGATGCCAGCTTTTCCAGTTATTAAAAAATCGGTGGTTCCAGCTATAAAATGTCGTTCACTTACATACGAAAATCAGCTACTAGATACAGTGTCTTCTATCAAAGAAATTCATGTTAACATTACTTTTTCGCACGTGTAGTAACCTATAAGGTAGAGCAGATGATCTTTGTTCGTATTCGATAACTACTATTAGCTCGTTCGTATTCCAATCTAGGACGATTTCTGCTTATACTTCAGGGCGATCTTTCCCCGAGCAAGTCCCGAGATTTTATTAATAACGTAACCCACTAGCGCAGCCATGACGATCACGAATGCGACTACGTCGGCACCAATGTACTGCAGAAAATTAAGGTGGCGAGACGAGAGCTTGAGGTGCTGTGCCCCTGCCGTGGCCAGGACGTGTTCCAGCAGCCACACCGCGCGATGCAGAGGCGTGGTCGACTGATCCCGTAAAATGTCAGCCAAGTCCTGAGCTCGTCTGCGGTACCTGCGACACACCGAAAGACTTTAGAGCAGTGGTTCCCAAACTTTTTCAGGCTGGCGCCCCCTTTGGCTCCCTAGTGAACTTCTAGCGCCCCCCCACAGACATATAAAAAATACGCCACTTTCTTGAAATTTAGTACGCTGCAATTTTAATAGATAAATGTTAAACACAAATGTGTATTTCATAAATAGAACCCCATTTAGTGAACCAATATGTTTTTACCCTCTTCTTCTTTACCGCCCCCCAAAATCTTTCCATCGCCCCTAGGGGGGCGATATCGCCCACTTTGGGAACCACTGCTTTAGAGTTATTATTGTAATGCACCGTTTAAGAAGAATACAAGCCATAAATGATGTTCTGTGACTCACTCCACCTGAAGTAAAGTTCGGAATTCTGTAAAAAATCAAAAGCAATCATACAATGATGCAAACTATATATGTTTATTTTACGTTGCACTCTATAGGAGTTTTAACACTGATCACCGCCATTTTTGCCTCTATCTTTAGTAAAGTTTACTCTAAGGAGCTATGACACTAAGCAAGG